TGGTCGTGGCGGTGAGGGCGACGGTTGTGGTGAGCGAGCGATGTGAATCGTGGGTCACGCTTTAAGCACTGCCACATCAAGACCCGTCTGTTCAACACGTAGTGGTAGTAGTGGCAGTCTTTTGCGACCAATATTATTCATAATAAAGGTGGGTTTTTTAAGGTTAGATCACGGAAATATATGAATGTGTCGTTAAACCCGCCACCACCCGACGCAGACAATTGTTAAGGTTTGTCGCGGAAACAAAGCGCACCAATTAGTGTACACCGGTGTGTTGGAGAGTAAACCCACAACTCTTTGGTTCTTTCGGTAAAGTCACGTCGAAAGAAATTTAATTCTACTCGATGACGACTGCTTGTGTTGCGATCGAAACGTCGTCTTCTATTTAATTTATTTTCTTTCCACGTGACTTTACCGAAAGAACCAACGAGCAATTACTGCAGTCACGAAAGCTTCAAGTCAAGTTTAAACCCACACCATTAACAAATCGAGCACGACGTTTCTCTGCCTTTTATTGCAATCAACCCATTAACTATCGCGCGTACTTCTGAAAAGAACGCCTATTGTACTGCTGGTCGCTATCTCATCGTGGCTCTGCATTGGATAGCAATCAATCACTCAACCGCACCCAACGGAGCGACACATCCCAGCCTCCCCAAACCCACGGATGGGTGACCGGGTTCAACATGGCCATGCTTTGATGGATTCGGTCTGTAGTCCCTTAGGTGGTGAAGGTGGTAGTGGCTGACGTCCCATCAAAGCACTAAGCAGGCTCAGTGATGCTTAGCTTCCAAGATCTGACCGAGGTCAGTTTCACCAAATGGGTCTCTTGCAGGTTTCATAATGGCCGTGCTCTGGGTCTGGGTGTCTCTCTGAGCATTTGAACCTCATGGTCCCATAAGCCCCCGGCTCTTGCATAAACATTATATTATAATGTAAACATAAACTTTGCTCTTTTTTCACCAATGGGTTTGAAGGATGGTGGAAAGTGTTGTCTTGTTAAACTATGCATTTAAACTGGAAACTACTTACCTGCAGTACGTCTATTTAAATACACTATCGAAAAAATAATTTACAGCCCTCTGTCAATCGTCGCGTTCCTCAGTGTGGATTTGTGAACACACTTTGTAAACAGTACGTAAAAGAGTACGCGTTTTCAATGCGCTGTTCATATTGTAACAGGCGTTCATACCAATGCTACTCTACAGAGTCGTGGGTCGCCGCTCCTCTTATCCGCATCGATACGAGCGGTATGTGGGGACTATGTGTTAACCGCAAAAAAACTATCTGCACAGATGCATACGGACAAGAGAAGTATTATCAAACAGGAGGAATTAACGGTGCAACGCATCTCATCTGTTAAATATCTGCAGGTAATAGGATTGTCATCGATTGTTCCTGGCAGCAGACATTAGTAGGTCACAAATAATAATGAAGATATGAGAGCAATTTCAATGTATTATGCATACCGTTATGACAAATAAAGGACTTAAGTAGTGTAGGCAGTTTGAGCAGCTTTGGATATTACGACTCATGATCCGGTCCATACCCGAGCGTGGAGTGCATTCGCTTGTTCAGCTCTTCTGCGCATTCGTCCTCGCTGCTGCTGCGTTTGGACACCACGTGACAACAGAACGATCCGTGCCAGGCGGGTAGCGGCGTTTGTGTGCGCGGTGGGACGGAGTCGCCAAAAATAAACTAATTAATTACGATTTTGACTTCCGTGCAATCGGGACCCCGGGGTCCCGCCACAAGGTTCATTTGGCTGTTCATCGTGAGACAGGATACCAATAACGCATTAGTTCAAGCCCTGGTTCTGGGTGTCTCTCTTTCTCAGTGGGTTCATAATGGCCATGTCAGGGTCACTGAGCCAACACCGCTGAGAACCAGGGTTTGAGCCCTGGGTATGGGTGTCTCAGTATTTGGCCATTCATCGTGAGAGATGTTGCTAATAATGCATTGCTTCAAGCCCTGCTTCTGGGTGTCTCGCTCTCTCCCTGTCAGGGGGTTCCTAATGTCAGGGCTACAGAGCCAGCACCGCTAAGAACCTGTGTTTGAGCCCTGTGTCTGGGTGTCTCTTTCTCGGTTAGTTCACAATGGCCGTAATACTGCTCACATTCTGAATGTCCCACAAAGCGCTGTCACAGGGCAGCCCGTTCCTGAACGCAACTCTCACGCGTGCTTCTAAAGAGGGCGCCTATTGTGTTTTGGTCGCTATCGCAGTGTGTGGCTCGCATTGCATAGCGATTAATCACAGCACCGCACCCACCGAAGCGACACAAACACTCAACCTCCCTAACCCAGATGAGGTGGTCGGGTGACTCAGAGCATGGCTTAATTGCAGCCGGAGCTGTCCAGGGCTGAACTCCGGAAAAAAATCCCGGCCCTTCTCCGCCCCGCCCTGCCAGTCATCTCAGTCAGTCAACCCGAATCAGAATCTTTTATTGAGACTGGGGGAATCCGATGAGCTATGAAGCTCTAACTCACACATGTCCGGTAGTTTTCACAGATGTATGTGTGTTGAACCTCTTTCGCACCGTACGTAGCCAACCGTGCTGGATGTCCATGGCAAGTGGGTCCGTCCCGTGACCTCCTGCCATTGTCGACACATCACGTGTCCTCTAAGTGCACCTAGCCTGGCACAAGCGCCGCGGTGTTGTCACCGCCACTTGAGTGGCGAATGGCGGCCGTTGTTGTTGTTGATGTTATTCTTGGAAATTTGTCGCCGGTGTTTTTGGTAAAAGAAACTTCTATTGGCAACACTCAATTGGGATTATTACACGGCTGCACATTGCGCAACACACGGGGACAGCTGCCACTGGGGGTGCCCTTTCAAATGTGTTGAGACGAGGTGTTGATGTGACTAGGAGGGCACTCTGTCAAACACTCACCGTAAGTCCTAATTGGCATTACATTATATGGGATAGGGGTTGCATTGCTTTGTTGAGATATATAAAATTAAACGAAATGTCTCGTATTCTTGGCTCTTTCGGTAAAGTCACGTAGAAGGGAAATAATCAAACAATATGAATATAAAACAATAAAAATTCTCACGACGTTTCGACTGCAATACAAGCAATCGTCATCAGGTGTGAAATCCACAGCAAGAAAATTTTAAAAAAGTAGCGGTTTTTTCCTAGCGTCAGCAGTATCTACGTGACTTTACCGAAAGAACCAAGAATATGAATCCCTGCAGCCACGAAAGATTTAAATCGAAATGTCTCGTGTTTGATATTATCTGAGTGTTGGGCATTCATGTAAATCGCGGTTTATGTGAAGCACTCTTATTATGTTTTATTTTTATTATTTTATTACTTCCCTTCTACGTGACTTTACCGAAAGAACCAAGAAAAAGACACTCTGACACTCATTTATTGGTGTGCAGTGCCCTCTGTAAGTGAATATCGCTTAAGCAGCAGATGCAGAGAGACTTAAATAGAGAGAAAAAATACCCGAATCGCATTACGAATAGAATGTGTATGTGGATGATGTCATAGGCTCAGGCGTGTATAGAGAAAACTCTCCCGATTACTGGAGAGGGTCGATGTGGGTGGTTGATCACCTTCTGTTCGGTATTGCCACATTGTCCATCAAACACCGATTAGTCTACCCACCTCGTGTGTGTGTGGGTGCCTCCTTGCAGTGGTGAGATGTTAACTCCCTCGCCTGCTATACAGGAGGGTCGTGGGTTCGATCCCGACCCTGACGCCTGCTGTTTATTTGGAGTTTGCGTGTCTCTCTCTCTCTCCCCACGTGTCGGCGTGGACTTATCTCCGGGTCCTCCGGTTTTTCCTTGCACATTTGTAATCAACATCATGCGTTTCGACTATTTGGCTGCGATACATTTCCACGTGATGACAAAGCCACTTCGTTGAGCTATCATTTGTGGCCAGGTCACTTTTGAAAAAAAGCTACATAGCTCAGTGGGCTTTGCTGGTGAAAAACAAAAAACAGGGTTTTTTAAATAGTTAGTACAACTCATTGTGTCTCTCCTAATGTCCGTGTGTCTCTCTTTGTCTCGCCTCATGTTTCCCTCTGTCTCTCCCCCCGTGTATTTTCCCGCACGTGTGTCCGTGTCTCTCCGCGTCTTCCCTCGTGTGCCATTGTGTCTCCGTGCATCTCAACGAGTGTCTCCCTCTCCACGTGTCCACGTGTGCGTGTCGCTGTCCGCGTCTCCATGCCTCTCTCCGCGTCTCTCCTTGTCCGAGCGAGTACCTCCCCTCGTGTGTCATCGCGTCTCCGTATTCATCTCCGCGTGTCTCCCTTCGTGTCTCCACCGTCTCTCTCCCCACACTCCCTCTGCCTGCTCCTCCTCCTTCTCACCCAGACCTCCCTGCACCAGTGGCGGCTCCTGCAAAATCTCTCAGGGGGGGCAAATGTCTGGATGATTGATAAGGATAAGGTCCACCCATGCAATGGATAAATTAACAGCTTAAGCATGTAAAGTCAACTTCACTTATTCTTTGGTTCTTTCGGTTAAGTCACGTCTAAAAATAAAATAATAAATTTTTAGACGTGACTTAACCGAAAGAACCAAAGAATAATTCCTGCAATCACGAAAGCTCCAAATTAAGATGCAACTTCACTTCTTTAATATTAATGAAAAATAAAGTGACTCTTACAATACATCTTGTTTGTTTCTATACTCACTATTATTACAATCCACTCAGTTTCTTTTATTAAAGATTCCACTAGGTGGCGACAAATAATATTGTTGACTGAAACGTGCTTACGTATGATGACGTAAGCACGTTAGTGCGAGCCCTCCCGGAAGCCATAGAGAATGCATTGGAGCGCCCGCCGTTCGAAAAAAAACATCTTTGAATGTAAGTCTATGGGAACACTCTGGGCGATTCTCAGCCAGAGTGAAATCGCCCAAAAAGAGGCGGTACTCCACAGAACGTGACATGACGCTGATTGGACTATATCCAGAGGCACAGTGACGGCTAGCGTAACTCTGTGGTTGAATGACATTGGTGGTGCGTCGCCCAATCGCCCTAATGAAGAAACCGCCCCTGCCCTGCACCCTTCCCTGGAGCGCAGAAGCGCACCCGACACGACCAGCGGCCCACGCGCGCTGGGACGCGGGCAGGGACAACGGCGGGGAGACAAAGACGGACGGGGAGATGGAGCAGTCCACGGGAGGCGTCGGCCCGGACCCCAGGAGCTCTCTGGCGCAAGCGGGACGGGACAAGAAGAGGCAGAGCCTCCTCACGCTGCACTGGTGCCTGACGCACAAAGGGGCCGTCCATAAATGACGTCACCCACCTGGAGGGAAGGGTGGGGGTCAGACATTTGTGACGATGTGTGACGAGCGGGGGGGGGGGGTTGAGAAATGTGACGTCACATCAAAATGCGCAACTTTAAGTAAATATAGACAACACGTTCTACCTAATTAAATAGACTTTTAAATAAATGTTTTCTCTTCTTGGTTCTTTCGGTAAAATCACGTAGAATAGAAATAATAAAATAATACAAATAAAACATAATAAAATAATTCTCACGACGTTTCGGCCACAATGCAAGCAGCCGTCCTCAGGTGAAGACCAGGTCTGTCGGGGAGACGCTGTTATGTTTATTTTTATTATTTTATTATTTCTCTACTACGTGACTTTACCGAAAGAACCAAGAAGATGAATCCCTGCAGTCACGAAAGCTTTAAATCGAAAAATGTTTTCTGCTACAACATCAGAGTGCAGCGCCACATTAAATAGTTGAAAGCGATTTGAAGCATGTTTTATTTTTGGGGGGGGCAGAGCTTTGTGACGTCATATTTGAGGGGTGGTAAAAAAATCGTCCAAAATCGCGTGACGTCATTTATGGGCGGCCCCAAAGGCAAAGGTCTCCCGCGTAGCCTCCGCCGGGGGGGAGAGCAAGTGCGGTCCAGCGGCTGTCTCTAGAGGGGGGAACTCAACCTGCAGTGAGAGCCCCGAAGTCACGGGGAGGCTGCCGCTTGTGGCGTCGTGCTCAGGGCGTTGAACGTGCCACGTAGAGGGGGGGGGGGGGGGCAGGGGGTTGAGATTACATCTCACGGCAGTTGAAACAATGTGGGCAAGGTTCTTAAACCCCCTCTCCACACCCCCCCCCCCGCCGTACCCACCATACCTCTAGCCATGGAGCAGTGTGAGTGTGGGGAGCGGTAGCGCAACAGGTAGCGCCGCACTGCGAACCCGGCGGCCCCGGTTCGATTCCCGCTCACGGCCAACGCCGGTGACGATAATCTGAACCGATCCTGAGCCTCCCCTTAGGTCGACTCAGCCTATAATTAGTACTTGGTACGGCATCGCCACTAAGGGAGACAAAGGCGGCCGGGCGTGGTGCTAGCCACCCACCCCCTCGCGCGCCGTGCCGGCCTTCGTAGGTGCTACTCGCTGGCGGCACTTGCCCCAACAGTCCGTTAAAGTTATACGGGGGATCTTTGTCTTTGTGGTGTGTGTGTGTGCCAAGGCTGGATGAGAACTACATGGTGTGTGAGGGCGTGTGCCTGCCGCGCTGTATCCTCTACACTCACTACCTCGACTTCTGCCGCAAGGAACACCTGGAGCCCGCCTGCGCCGCCACCTTTGGCAAGGTGAGAGACACCCCACCCCCTCCCCCCTCCCCCCCTCCCCCCCCCCAAAAAGACAAAGATCCCCCGTATAGCCTGAACAAACTGTTGGGGCAAGTGCTGTTAGCTTGCACCTCTCAAGGCCGGCACAGCGCACGAGGGGGTGGGTGGCCAGCACCACGCCCGACCGCCTTTGTCTCCCCAGTGGCGATGTTTACACACCGCACCAGGTACTCATTTGAGGCTGAGTCGACCTAGGGGAGGCTCAGGCTCGGTTGGCAGCGCGGCGTAGTGCTACTCCACCGCTCCCCACATGCTCACGCGCAAAACGCCTTCACTGTGCCTTTGATGACGATGATGGTTATGATGATGATGAAGATTATGATGATGATGATTATGACGACGATGATGATGATGCTGATTAATTTGTTTTGCCCCAGACCATCCGGCAGAAGTTCCCGCACCTCACCACCCGGCGACTGGGCACGCGCGGTCACTCCAAGTAAGATCTCCTGCGGTGCATTCAAACGTGCTCATCGTCATCATCATCTTCTTCTTCTTTCCTGTGGTGGGAGGGAGAGGGGCGGGGGGGGGATGTCCCCATGACCATGCCGAGGTTGGCGAGTGAGCCGCTGGACGGCTTCAGGAGGAGCCTCGTGGTGAACGTGAGAAGCGCTGCCAGCGAATGGTCACAGTGGGCAGTGAGTGGCCTTACCACGTGGGCCATCGTCTGAGGTATAGGCCCACATGCAGGAGATCCATAGACTCACCTAGAGACTCATGGACTCACGTAGACACCCACAGACTCATGTAGACACCCATAGACTCACGTAGACACACACAGACTCACGTAGATTCACATAGACACCCACATACTCACGTAGACACACACAGACTCACGTAGACTCACATAGACTCGCATAGACTCACATAGACAACCATAGACTCACGTAGACACCCATAGACTCACATAGACTCACATAGACACCCATAGACTCACATAGACACCCATAGACTAACACAGACACCCATAGACTCACATAGACTCACATAGACTCACATAGACTCACGTAGACACCCACAGACTCACATAGACACCCATAGACTCATGTAGACACCCATAGACTCACATAGACTCACATAGACACCCATAGACTCACATAGACTCACATAGACTCAAACAGACACCCATAGACTCACATAGACTCACATAGACTCACACAGACTCACGTAGATTCACGTAGACACCCATAGACTCACATAGACACCCATACACTCACATAGACTCACATAGACTCACACAGACACCTATAGACTCACGTAGACACCCATAGATTCACATAGACACCCATCAATTTACATAGACACCCACAGACTCATACACTCACGTAGACACCCAAAGACTTACATAGACACCCATAAACTCACAGAAATTCATAGACTTGCAGAGACACCCATAAACACTCACAGAAACCCACAGACTCACATAGAGACTCAAAGACTGACACAGAGGCCGATAGACCCACGTAGACAAACATCGACAACCCATAGACTCACACAGAGGCCCATAGACTCACATAGAAACCCATAGGTGAAAATAATTAAGTGGGCCGTGGTATTACTATGTGGGACATAGTGTGATCTGTAGACTGACATTGATATTCATAGTCTCTCACAGAGATACATAGATTATTTAGAGACCCTTAGACTCACATAGGGACCCATAGCTTGACATTTATTTAACACACGTCGGGTTAGTTGATCCGCAGGGTCCATATGTTCACATTGAAGTCGGTGCAGGCATTTATCCAGCAAGGCGCCCTGTGGCTGCACATTTCTGAAGTGTCGCGTGCCCGCCCCGATCGTACGGTTACCTGTCTGCGCGACCACCACAGGTACCACTACTACGGGATCGGTATCAAGGAGAGCAGCGAGTACTACCATGCCGTCTACTCGGGGAAGGGCCTCACCCGGTGAGCATCTTGAATCCACAGCGTGGGTTCGTTGTTTCAGTGAATTTCTCCATCCAGCCCGGATATCTTGGTCGACGGATCTCCGATTGCCTGGTGACCATTCCTCAGAACAAGAACTCAGCCTGGTGCCAAGGCCTTGACTTGCACAGCACCCAAGCTAAACTAAAACGAAACATTTTTTTTATTTGACCAGGTAAGGCCCCACTGGGGCTAGGACACCCCACACCCGTTGGGAGGGGTCCCGGGGGATCCCAGGACAGCCCACAGCTCATTTACGCCCCGACAGATGTAATGTTGTCCTGTACATCTATGGTTCACCCGTCTGTGCTCACCCTCACTTCAGCGTGGTGGAGATTACTCGCCCCTTTCACATATTTGTCTCTCGAACCTAAAATATGGAAGTTCTATTTTTGGCACATCCCATCAGCCACACGTCCTCCTTGATTTGTTATTTTAAGCAGCAAACTCTGGACATGATTCGACATTCAGTGTCTCATCAGCTGGTGAACTGCCGGATATTTCTTGACAAGGACCCTCCTTCTGTCAGATAAGGGGCGCCACGGTGGCTAGGAGATGTTAACTACCTCGCCTGGTATACAGGAGGTCGTGGGTTCGATCCCGACCCTGACGCCTGCTGTATATTTGGATTTTGCGTGTCTCTCTCTCTCTCATCATCATCACGGTGGCTAGATGTTAACTACCTCGCCTGGTATACAGGAGGTCGTAGGTTCGATCCCGACCCTGACATCTGCTGCTGTATATTTGGAGTTTGCGTGTCTCTCTCTCATCATCATCATCACGGTGGCTAGGAGATGTTAACTACTTCGCCTGGTATACAGAAGGTCGTGGGTTCGATCCCGACACTGCCGCCTGCTGCTGTATATTTGGAGTTTGCATGTCTCTGTCTCATCATCATCACGGTGGCTAGGAGATGTTAACTACTTCGTCTGGTGTACAGGAGGTGGTGGGTTCGGTCCCGACCCTGACGCCTGCTGTATATTTGGAGTTTGCGTGTCTCTCTCTCATCATCATCACAGTGGCTAGGAGATGTTAACTATTTCGCCTGCTATACAGAAGGTCGTGGGTTCGATCCCGACACTGACCCCTGCTGTATATTTGGAGGTTGCGTGTCTCTCGCTCATCATCATCACGGTGGCTAGGAGATGTTAACTACCTCGCTTGGTATACAGGAGGTCCTGGATTCGATCCCGACCCTGCCGCCTGCTGCTGTATAGTTGGATTTTGCGTGTCTCTCTTTCTCCGTGGTCGCGTGGATTTTTCTCCGGGTCCTCCGGGTTCTCCCCTCCACGTTTCGAATCAACGTCACGCGTTTTCGAGTATTTGGCTGCGAAAGAATGTCCACGTGATTAGCCCACACTTCGTTGAGCTATCATTTGTGGCCAGGTCGCTTCTGAAAGAGAGATGTGTTATAGCTCAGTGGGATAAAGCGTGGTCAAGTGTGGTGAAGAAGTGTGGTGGATTTATGGTGAAGCGTGGTGAATTTTGGTGAAGTGTGGTGAATTTTGGTGAATTGTGGTGAAGCTTGACTAACGGGACAGGCCTCCACGACCCACAAAGGGGCGTGTTGTTGTGGGGGTAGGGGGCAGGAGGCATCCCTCCAGCAGTGAATTGACCAGTTTTGTTGCCAGATAGAAGGGTAAAAAAAACAATTATCATATTTTTTACTGGCAAATGAGGTTCCCATAGAGCTGCCAATCACCATCACTTTCTCCATCTTCAATGAGCCACGGCGGGTTAATGATGCGGAGGTAGCTGTTAGGCTAATCGAGTTGTAAATGAGCTGGGCGGACTCAATCGAGGCAAGCAAGCAGCCTGCTGCTGCCGCTTGCTAATGGCTCCGTGGTTTCTTGTAGTAGCGCCGAGCGGTGGCGGATGTGGGGGGTGGCCGATGTTGGGGCTGGTGGGGGGTGACCGAGCGCCAGGCCAGATGGTGAAGATAACGGGGGGGGGGGCAGGCGAGGGTTGCTGCTGCTTGTTAGGGGCACTCAGTGCAGTGCAGTGTGTGCAGTGTGTGTGTGTGCAGTGTGTGTGTGTGCAGTGTGTGTGTGTGCAGTGTGTGTGTGTGTGCAGTGTGTGTGTGTAGTGTGTGTGTGTGCAGTGTGTGTGTGTAGTGTGTGTGTGTGCAGTGTGTGTGTAGTGTGTGTGTGTGCGCAGTGTGTGTGTGTGTGCAGTGTGTGTGTGTGCGCAGTGTGTGTGTGTGCGCAGTGTGTGTGTGTGTGCAGTGTGTGTGTGTGCGCAGTGTGTGTGTGCACAGTGTGTGTGTGTGCAGTGTGTGTGTGCGCAGTGTGTGTGCAGTGTGTGTGTGTGTGTGCAGTGTGTGTGCAGTGTGTGTGTGTGTGCACTTTGCGTGCAATGTGTATGCGTGTGTGTGAAGTTTGCGTGTGTGTGCAGTTTGCGTAGCTGCAGTGTGTGTGTATCTGTATAAAAAAATAAAGTTGAATTTTTTTTTAATGATAGAAAATAATATTATCATCATTGTGACACAAGTATACCAAGTTTGCAGTCGATACCGCATTGGGAAGTGGGTTAAAATCGAGTTACAAGATTTGAGGATACAACAACAACAGACAGAGTGAGTTCAATGAAAGCGTCTAAAAACATCTTTGGATTAATTCGCGTGAATATAAATGCGTCGTTCAACCCGCCACCACCCGACACAGCCAATCAGTGCGGTCTTGTGACGTTAACAGAACGTGGCCAATTCGTTACTAACTGCAGCACCTCCAGTGTGCTGGAGAGCAAACCCACAGCGTTGACAATCCGAGTCCTGTTGTAATAACAGCCATAGAGGATTCACGTGGGGATTGGCTTGCCTGTCCCGCTTTGTAGCCAATAAGGGATGAGCCAGGGAGCATGGCCTCGGCGTGATCACGGCATGTTAGCAGGGGTGATTGGCCTGGCCAATCGGGGCCTCAGCTAATGGGGAGCCGGATCAGAGGCGTGGTCCCGGGATTGACAGGGAACCTTCTGGAACGTTCAACGCTGTCTATAGAGGATTGGCTGGGGGGTACCACGTGACGAAGGGATTAAGAGAGAGAGAGAGGGAGAGAGAAGTCGGGAGCAGACTTGGAAACGAGCAGAGCGGGAGTCACGCGCGTACGAGGGCTCCGGGTGCCACGTGCGCGGTGGGGACTTGGCGAGAAGTCTGCCCTCTCTCCGTTGTCTGCCAGCAACGGAGAGTGTGTGTGTAAAGTGTAACTGTGAAAGTTGACAATACAAATGACTGATTCCGGAAGCCGTCTCAAGAAGGTTTATTACACTGTGAAGAAAGTTGTGCGTGTGTCGGTCTCGAATATGATGTCGTTACCAATGGCGGAGCCAGGATTTTCAGTTGGGGGGGGGGGGCAACTCTTCCAGCAATGAAACATGATAGAGGAGTTGTTAGTAAGTAAGGAGTTGCCCCTTGCTTTGTATTCGACGCGTGTGCGGCGATGGCGCAGCCATCGATCGAGGGTAGAATTCGAACCGCGTTGTGTGATCGGCATCGCGCTCGCTGAAGGTGAATGCCTTCAGGGAAGTCGTGGACTGTATAGGCGCAACTGCGCACAATTATGTGAGTCACTTACAACTGCTTTGCCGCTACTTATTGCCAATTATGGACTCAGACTATTGTCCTATCATCTCCTAGAGTCCCTGGCGCGTAATAATATACACAGCGGCAGTGGGGGTAGCAAAATGCAGATTTATTACTAATAAACCCCAATGATCTGATCGAGATTAGGGATTTCGATCAGATCATTGGGGGGGGGGGCACGTGCCACCCCCTCCCTCCCGATGTGACATGTTCGGATCAATTTAAGATCACTTCGCCTCCCTGTGCCTTCTCAGCATTGGCTGCTCTGTCCCCTTTTTGTGTTTGCAGGTTTTCTGGGAGCAAGATTAAGAGCGAGGTAAGTTTAGCACGTGGCAAGAGGCTTCACGCGACCAATAACAGCCATACATACGGGTGTTTTTTGTTTGTTGGGTTAGATCGCGTAAGTATATATAAATGTGTCGTTAAACCCGCCGCCACCCGACACAGCCTGTCAGTAAGGTTTGTCACGTTAACAGAACTTGCCAATTCGTTACGAGTACAGCAACACCGCTGATGGATGCCCATTGTAATTTATATTCATTCATTAATCTCCACACAACTTAGCACGTGAAGGGGTCTCAAGTGACGTCCTCACATCTACCCCCTCTATTTAAGGAACGAAACAGGAGGATTTCTCCACAAATCTGGCTGTCTGCCTGATGAAGCTGGTTGTAATTACTGGCGAAACGTCGTGCTCAGAGTGTAAGTGTTGTAGCTTGGCTGTCCAACACACAACCGGTGTTGCTACGTGTCTGTGTGTGTCTGTGTGTATGAGGAGCGGTGGTGTTTTGTTTAAAGCGTTGCGATACAAACCCGGCGACCTGAGTTCGATTCCCGCTCACAGCCAACACCAGTGACGATTATTTGAACAAGTCTTTGGCCTCCCCTAGGTCGACTCGGCCTCAAATGAGCACCTGTTGCGGTGTGTAAGCATCGCGGCTGGGGAGACAAAGGCGGCCGGGTGTGGTTCTGGGCACCCACTCCAATTGTGTGCCGTGCCGGCCTTCACGGGGTGCTACTCGCTAACAGCGCTTGCCCCAACAGTCCGCTGAAGGCTACACGGGGGACCTTTGTCTGTGTGTGCACAGGGAGGCTTCACGCGTAAATACTCGCTGAGCTCCAAAACCGGCACTCTCCTTCCAGAGTTCCCCAGCGCCCGCCAGCTCATCCTACCTGCGTCCGTGTCCAGAGACAAGGTGAGAGACAGGGACACACATAGACACACAGAGACAGAGACACACAGAGACAGAGACACACAGAGACACACAGAGACACACAGAGACAGAGACACACAGAGACAGAGACACACAGAGACAGAGACACACAGAGACACACAGAGACAGAGACACACAGAGACACACAGAGACAGACAGAGATAAGCTGAGAGACAGGGACACACAGAGACACACAGAGACAGAGACACACAGAGACAGAGACACACAGAGACAGAGACAGACAGAGACACACAGAGACAGACAGAGACACACAGAGACAGACAGAGACAAGGTGAGAGACAGGGACACACAGAGACACACAGAGACAGAGACACATAGAGACAGAGCCACACAGAGACACACAGAGACAGAGACACACAGAGACAGACAGAGACAAGGTGAGAGACAGGGACACACAGAGACACACAGAGCAAGCGACACACAGAGACAGACAGAGACAACGGGCGGGGGGGGGCACATTCCGCGTTGTGCGAACATCGTTCCCGAGTACACGAACGGCGTCGTAGCGACAACGCGCTGAGCGGGGGACTCGCCCCCCCTACCCAGTTGAATCCACGGCGCTGTGACGCACGCGGTGACCTCTCGCCCCTCCTGTGCGTGCGTGCGTGGGCCAGGCCGACACGCTGATCACGATGTACAAGACCCACTGCCAGTGCATCCTGGACAATGCCATCAACGGCAACTTTGAGGAGGTGAGCTTAGAGCGTGCATCGTCATTGTCGTCATCATCGTTATTATCATTATTTCACGCACCTCCGATTAGCATGGTTGGCTACGTACGGTGCGAAAGAGGTTCAGCGTACATCATTATCAGCAGCAAGAGCAGCAGCATTATTGTCAAACATCATCATCACGATCTCCAGCACATTCATCATCATCAGCAGCTGCACCAATCATAATCGTTAGCAGCTGCAGCAGCAGGATCAACATCGTCCGTGGCATATTCATCAGATCGCCATAGTCGTTCATTATTGTCACATTCATCATCATGAACCGCACATCCGGTTAGCGCGGTTGGCTACGTATGGCGCAAAAGAAGTGCAACATACTGTACATACATACACGAACGTCGTCAATAACGTCATAATTAAAAACATAGTAAAAATATAAATATAGCAGAAACTATATTTTGCCACTGGTAAAGGAGATCTCATGATTAAAAATACCTTTTCCAAAACCCGATCGTTCAACACATCGGCTGACATCATCACGATCATCACCACCAACACCAACACCATCAACATCACCACCAACACTACCAACAACATCATCATCGCCATCGCCACCGCCAGGGTCACATTGTGGTCACCGTCGCTACCACCACCACCAACATCATCATCATCATCACCACCAGCAACATCATCATCATCATCGCCGTCGCCACCACCACCAACATCATCATCATCATCGCCATCGCCACCGCCACGGTCACATCGTGGTCGCCACCACCAACATCATCATCGCCATCGCCACCACCACCAACATCATCATCATCATCATCGCCATCGCCACTAACATCATCATCATCATCGCCATCGCCACCAACATCATCATCATCATCATCGCCACCACCACCAACATCATCATCATCATCGCCACCACCACCATCATCATCATTGCCATCGCCACCACCACCATTATCATCATCATCATCGCCATCGCCACCACCACCAACATCATTATCATCATCATCGCCATCGACACCACCACCAACATCATCATCGCCACCGCCACCAACATCATCATCGCCATCGCCATTGCCACCACCACCACCAACATCATCATAATCGCCATCGTCACCACCACCAACATCATCATCATTATCGCCACCACCAACATCATCATCGCCACCGCCACCAACATCATCATCATCATCGCCACCGCCACCACCAACATCATCATCGCCACCGCGACGGTCACATCGTGGTTGCCGTCGCTATCGTTTGGCCTCCTCGTCCGCAGATCCAGAACTTCTTGCTGCACTTCTGGCAGGGCATGCCCAGCCACCTGCTGCCCCTCTTGGAGGAGGCCGCCGTGGTGGACGTCGTCTGCGTCTGCGACTCCATCTTGTACAAGGTCCGCCCGGCCGAGACAAGTTTGTTCCGTTGCATCGGTCGAGGGCCGACATTCATCCAGCAGTGGGTAGATCACGGCCGATGTGACGATAACCGTGATGAGACATGATGTGGCCGGGTGGTTACATTTTATTTTTTTACTCTTTTGTTTTATTTTACCAAGTAAGGCTCACTCGAGCAATGTAGCTCTTTTTAACACGCGACCTGGCCACAAATGATAACTCAACGAAGTGGCTTATCACGTGGATATTTATAGCGGACAAATTATCTAAACGCGTGGGGAAAAACTGGAGGATGTGGAGATAATTTCACGTAGCCACGGGGAGCACATGAAAACTCCAATTATATACATTTTGATTTAAAGCTTTCGTGACTGCAGTGATTCATATTCTTGGTTCTTTCGGTAAAGTCACGTAGAAGGGAAATAATAAAATAATATAATAAAATAAAATAATAATATAAAAACACAAGCAATCATCATCAGGTGTGTTGCAGTCGAAACGTCGTGAGAATTTTTATTGTTTTATATTTATATTATTTTATTATTTCCCTTCCAATTATATAGTTTAGCAATGTTGTGGATTTACTCTCCAACACACCGGTGGGCTGAAGTAGTCACTAATTTTGCACATTTTGTTTACGTGACAAACCTTATTAATTGGCTGTATTGGGTGGTGGTGGGTTAACGACACATTTATATATTTACGCGCCTTAACCCAAAAAAAACTTTCATATGAATCCAAATATACAGCAAGCGTCAGGGTCGGGATCGAACCCACGACCTCCCGCATAGCAGGCGAGGTAGTTAACATCTCCTAGCCACCGCGGCACAATTAAATAACCCAGGAAGCTGTGCTTACACGTTCCATGGCGTCGCAGGCTTTTGTCCGAGCGTGTGCCGCTGGACGGGAGGTGGGGGGGGGTGCTTGGCGACGCGGTCGGCACCGTCAGCCTCGTCGCGCTGGGCGTGGCTTGCACGGGGGGGGGGGGGTTTCCCACCTTCGGGAGGCAGCAGCAGCAACAGGTTATAGGGGCGGCCGTTATAGGGGCGGCCGTCAATCCTTTTTGAACGGGGCCACAAAACGCCGACCGCTTGCAGGAGGGGTTTCCCATGTTCGGGAGGCAGCAGCAACAGGTTATAGGGGTGGCCGTTATAGGAGCGACCGTTATAGGGGCGGAGGTTATTGGGGGAGGCCGTTATCGTGGGCGGCCGTTATAAGGGTCGACCGTCAATTTTTTTTTTAACGGGGCCCAAAAACGTCGACCGGCCGAACACACGATTCAATGGTATGAAACCGTCGGGGTTGCGGACTTCCCAGTGGAGCGACGGACTGCACCGAGGGATCGTCCCCCGCACCGACGCCGTTGCCCCCCTCCCCCCCCCCCCCTGTGCCGTCGTCTGCAGGTCCTCACCGATGTCCTCATCCCGGGAACGATGCAGGAAATGCCGGACAGGTTCGTGGAGTTTTCCCACCTCAACATCCATCACCACCCCCACCGCAACCACCACCCCCTTCCCCCGGGCCCCGTCAACCGCACGTTGTCCGACGTTTCGCTCCACACCCTCCGGAGGAGGAGCTGCCGGCACGTGGGGGATAGTTTGCGGCGGGTCTTTGGCACTCTCTACCCTCTTTCTTTCTCTTCCTCTCTCTTCTCCCTCTCTCGCACGCTCCCTAGATCATATCCTGGGTTCACTCGCTCGCATCTCCCGTTACTTGGGAGAGCAGTGCACCCCGGTTATTTTCTGTTCCTTCACTGGCTGTTGTTTCCTGCTGCTGCTGCTGCTGCTGTTAAAACTATATAATAACGGTAGTAATTGTGGGGTCAGATCTTGCCACATTTGTTGCTTTGCTTTAACATAAACGCGCTCAATATTTGACGTCTTGCGTGTCTCTGCGTCTCTTTTCTCTCCCGGGCTGCTGCCCGTGCTGCTGAGCGGCAGAGTAGCGGCGAGCGCTGCGCTGCGCTGCGAACCCGGTGACCCGAGTTCGATTTCCGCTCACGGCCAACATCGGTGACGATTATCTGAACCGGTCCTGGGTGTGGTGTGTAGTAAACATCGCCACTGGGGAGACAAAGGCGGTCAGGCGTGGTTCTCGCCACACACACTCGGTCGGCCTTCATATGTGCTCGCTAACAGCACTTGCCCCAACAGTCCGTTAAGGTTATATGGGGAAGGGGGGGGTCTTTGTCTTTGTGCATGCGTGTGCATGCGTGTGTGTGCATGCATGTAGCAGAGCCGTTGTACGCGTGGTTTTGTGACAATCGCATCGAAAGTTGAGCGGCCACCAGCCCCTCGCAACCGTCCAGAGCCCCCGTTGGCCGCCGCGGCGGCTGCGAGCGTGCCGCGAGGATTACCAGCCGATTGGCATCGTGCAGGGAGGGGCTGGGTGGGGAGGGAGGGGCTGGGTGGGGAGGGGAGGGGAGGGTGGGGAGGGGCTGATCACCCCGTGGTGCCCTTATAAAACTCAACGTTTAACCTACTCACGCCGGCTTGTGCCCGCCCTCACAGTCGGCCATATTTGCGGAATACACCACGCCGCCGTTGACCCTGGCCATTGACCGAGCAACCCAACGTTCCTACCAGCTCCCTCCACAGGAATGTGTTATTGCCGGCGATCTCAGTCGGTCGTCGCACAGCACCTGGGTCTGTTCCCTGACCTCATGCACTTCGCTTGGCACATCAGTTACGCTCGTCTACGTACGGTGCAAAATGAGTTTGATGTGCATACGTGCACACGTGCGTGGCGCGCCTGGTGTGCACCCCCCTGGCCTCGTCCTGTCAGCGGCGAGCCTTCCGCACGTCACGTGACGGCGTCAAGGTGCACCCAGCCTGGCGCAAGCGCCGCCGCCGTCGTCGTCAGCGCCGCTTAGTTTGGCGAACGGCGGCCGCCGTTTGACGTTGCTGTTGTTGTTGATGCCGAGGCAGTTGTTGATGATGCCGTTGTTGTTGTTTTCGTTGTCATCGCAGCCTGCTGGTGGACGTGCGGGGGCTGGCGCGCCACTGGGACCGCTGGGCCAGCTCGTCGCTGGAGACGCTGCCAGCGCTGCTCTCCGAGCGCAAGCTGCCCATCGCCAGACGCTTCTCGGCGTCGCTCAAGCGGCAGACGTCGTTCCTGCACCTGGCGCAGGTGAGGGCAGGAGGGCGGGTAGAGGGATGTGGAGCTGAACCCCCAGGGGGGGTAGAGGGGTGTGGAGCTGAACCCCCAGGGGGGGTAGAGGGATGTGCAGCTGAACCCCTAGGGAGGGTAGAGGGATGTGGAGCTGAACCCCCAGGGAGGGTAGAGGGATGTGGTGCTGATGCGAGGTGTGTGATCGCGCGACGTGGCGTGCCGAAACGCTTCTCCGATACGGTCCAAGCCGCCGTCGTTCCAATCATTTTGCCGCCTCCCCCTCCCATGCCTCTCTGCCCTTCCTTCCCCCCCCGCCGCCACGGGTCAGATCGCGCGGCCGACGCTGTTGGACCAGGCGACGGTGAGCGCTATGGTGCGCGACGTGGAGCGCGTGGACCTCAACTCGCTCGGCTCGCAGGCGCTGCTCATGCCGCCCGGCGGCGCCGCCGACGACCCCGAGTTCGACTCCGACCCCGAGTGTGGGTTGCGGCGTTGCTTCCGCCACACGCGCGACACCCCCCGTGACGATCGTTGACATCGTCGTCATCGTCACGATCCGCAGGCGGACGGCCTGTATGTGTCCGCTGCGCTGTTTCGTAATGACGACGATTTCACGCGTCGTCTTGAAGATGTGTGGAATGCGATGCGGTGACCACCGACTTTGTTCGATGGCCCAGCCGTCCTTTCCCAATGGATGCCGGATAACAGAATTTCTGCTGAAATATGATGATGATGACGGCTATACGGATTTTTTTTTACTGGTAGGAACCTCCTGGTTACACTAGCCCACAGGGGATTATTGTGTCCGTCGTGCAGGGAGGGGCTGGGTGGGGAGGAGAGGGTGGAGAGGGGCTGGGTGGGGAGGGTGGGGCTGGGTGGCGGGTGGGGCTGGGTGGGGAGGGGCTGGTCACCCCGTGGTGCCCTTATAAAACTCAACGTGTAACCTACTCACGCCAGCTTGTGCCCGCCCTCACAGTCGGCCATATTTGCGGAATACACCACGCCGCCGTTGACCCTGGCCATTGACCAAGCAACCCAACGTTCCTACCAGCTCCCTCCGCAGGAGGAATGTGTTATGTGTGTGCGTTACGTGTCTCCCTTTGTGTACCCACGTGTCTACAGATGACTCGGTGGTTGTGTTCCAAGAGTTGAGGGATCTGCTGAAGAGCGGTGCCACGGTGGAGGCGTTCATCGAGTGGCTGGACCAGGTCCTGGAGAACCGGGTGATCAAGGTCCCCTGACGCACACAAAGACAAAGATCCCCCGTATAGCCTCAACATACTTTTGGGGCAAGTTCTGCAAGCGAGTAGCGCCTGTGAAGTCCCGCGCAGGTACGCGAGGGTGGTGGGTGGCCAGCACCGCACCCGACCGCCTTTGTCTCCCCATTGGCGATGTTTATTACACACCGGACCAGGTACTCATTTGAGGCCGAGTTGACCTTGGGGATGCCCAGGACCGGTTAACTGGTGTTGGTGGCCGTGAGCGGGACTCAAACTGGGGTCGCCGGGCTCGTAGCGGAGCGTGACAACCACCACACCACCGCTCCCCGCTGATACACACGCACGCACACACAGTACACACACACACAGTACACACACACAGTAAATGCACACACAGTACACGCACACACACACAATACACGCACACACACACAGTACACGCACATACAGTACACGCACACACACACAGTACACGCACACACACACAGTACATGCACACACACACAGTACACGCACACACACACACCGTACACACACACACACTACACGCACACAAACAGTACACGCACACACACACAGTACACGCACACACAGTACACGCACACACACAGTACACGCACACAATACACGCACACACAGTAAACGCACACACATTCAGTACACGCACACACACACCGTACACACACTACACGCACACACACAGTACACGCACACACACAGTACACGCACGCACACCCACGTGTTTATTTGAGTCCACTCGAAAAAAAAACACAGAGGTCACGTCGAAAACCCATACGGAGCAGGGGGAGAACACACGAACTCCGCACACGGTGTCACGGTCTGCACCGGGACCGCAAACCCAGGCCCCCCTCCTCCCCCCTTCTCGCCGCGCGACACAATCATCACCACCGCCACCCTGGTGCCCCCTCGAGCCTTTCCGCAGCGGGCAAGGCTGGCGACGCGGGTGAGCAGCGGGGGGGGGGGGGGTCACAGCTTTGCCATCGCCCTCGCCTCTGTGTCGTTCGAGCAGCCGAGCAAGCAGAACGGGCGCACGCTGAAGAAGAGGGCTCAGGACTTCCTGCTGCGCTGGAGCTTCTTCGGGGCGCGCGTCATGCACGGCCTCACGCTCAACAACGCCTCCAGCTTCGGTGAGCGCGGGCCCATCGTCGCCGACCCCGGCAGCGAGGCCGGAGGGAGAAGATAGCCGAGCAGGGAGGGAGGTCGGTCGGTCTGTCGCGGTGCCAACGTTGGCGCAGCGTGGTTCAGATCGTTGGACCATAATAGAGGTTTTTTTGGGGGGTTAGATCGCGTAGATATAATAATGTGTGGTTAAACCCGCCACCACTCGACACAGCCAATTTAATGAGGTTGTGTCACGTGAACAGAACGTGGCCAATTCGTCACTAGTACAGCACTAACCGGTTGTGCGTTGGAGAGCCTAGCCACAACATTTACCATCTGAGTACGACGTTTCGCCAGTTATTACGACCGGCTATCACCAGACGACAGCCAGATGGTCGGACCCTACATTTGGCACGCCATTGGCACGCGTTCGCGGCCGCTGGCCTAATGTTGGCCCAAAGTCGCTACGTGGTTTGAGATTGATGGACCTACAGTGGCTCGACGTCGCCCCAACATTCGCCCCAACACGTTACGCGTTCCGCGAGCATCGCGTTCAACCCGCGCCGAGCAGCGTGCCCGAGTGCTTGCGGGGCGAACCTTCATCCGGCAGCGGATCGATAAAAAGGGGAGGGCGAACGTCGCATCCGTCCGACGCGTCGGCGCAGTTCGCTCGTGTCGTGGGCCGCCCAGAGTGTAGGTCGGTGCAACTGCGGCCGCGGCCAACTGGGCTGGAGGGTCCATGGCGCGCCACGTTACCCCACCGGTGTACCCGTGTGCGTACGTGCGGCGGCGGGCAGCGATCGAACGCGACCGCCCGCACCGAACCCGTCCTGGGGCTTCCCCGAGGCAATGCGTCTGCGCGGTGAAGTGGCGGCGATTGTCTGCACCAGACTTGGGCCTCCCCTAGGTCGACTCAGCCGACGAGACATCACGAAGCAGCAGTGCTTGAAGAGCCACCGCATGCGGCTGTGGAGCCGCGGGGTTTGCTGACCTCTGCTGTAGGTAGCCTCAAATGTGTACCTGGTGCGGGATACACCGCAGTCAACCCGTGCGGTTTATACCCCGTGTTCTTGTACAGGGAAATTGAGTTTTCAGGTCCATACGATGTACAGCCGTTTCAATAGGGGCAGCAACATTTTTTTGTCTATTTGTTTGTGTTTCTCCCTCGTGATGGGGACTTCGTAGGATGAATTTATCAAGAAGGAGCAGTCCTTCAAGAGCTGCATGCAGCCGCAGGTTGCTGACCTCTGCCCGAGGTCGACTCAGCCTCAAATGTGTACCTGGTGCTGTAAATAAAACGTCAGCTGTGGGGAGACAAAGGCAGCAGGGTGACGGTGCTGGCCAGCACCCGCACCACGAGCCGCGACCGCTGGCACCAGTTGGTATCGATGTTCTGCACTGGCCTTGCGCCTCCCCTAGGTCGACTCGGCCTCAAACGAGTATGTGGTGCGCAGCTCGTGCGGCCACCCACGCTCCGCGCGTGGCACGCCGGCCTTCGTAGGCGCCGCTAGCTCAGGGCACTGCTAAAGGCTACGCGGGGGGCGGATGGGGTGGGATCGTTACCTCTGTGTGTGTGTTGGCAGGCTCGTTTCACCTGATCCGCATGCTGCTGGACGAGTACATCCTGCTGGCCCTGGAGACTCAGTTCAACAACCACAAGGAGCAGGAGCAGCAGAGCCTGCTCGACAAATACACGCGCAACGGAGGTGTCTGTCTCGCGCTCACACGGACACACGCTGTCTGCCTTCGATGCACATGGACACACGAGTCTGTGATGCAGGCATAACGAATCTGACCCCTGACCTTCCTTGCCACCCCCCTTCTCCCCCCGTGCACCTCCCAGACGCGAGCCGCACTACCCTCAGCGCCACCCCCAGCTCGTGCTTTCTGGCGAGCCGGGCCAAGGCTTGCTTGGCCCTGACCCCAGGGCCCGAGAGGGTCAAACGCGAGACCACCGCTCCGGCTCTGCTGCAACCTTTGCAGCAGCAGCAACAGCAGCATCAGCAGCACGCGTACCACGACCAGCAGAGGCACCACCACCACCACAACCACCACCACCACGAAAGCCAACAGCATCATCATCATCAGCAGCAACAGCAGCATCATCATCATCAGCAGCTGTCACCCATGAGATGCGGCCTCTACTCCTCCATGCTGGGAAGCCACGAAGCGACTCTTGCAGGTGAGGTCCCTTGGAATCATTGTCGTCGTCATCATCGTCGTCATCGTCGTCGTCATCGTCGTCATCGTCGTCATCGTCGTCGTCGTCGTCGTCATCGTCGTCGTCGTCGTCATCGTCGTCGTCATCATCATCGTCATCATTGTCGTCGTCATCATCATAGTTGTCATCGTCGTCTTCGTCGTCGTCGTCATCATCGTCGTCATCATTGTCGTCGTCCTCATCGTCGTCGTCATTGTCGTCGTCATCATCGTCGTCGTCAATGTCGTCATCATCATCATCATCATCGTCGTCGTCATTGTCGTTGTCGTCATCATCGTCGTCATCATCGTCGTCGTCATCGTCGTCGTCATCATCGTCGTCGTCGTCGTGAGCCATGGTCTATCCACTGCTGGATGAAGGGCTCCCCATGCCATCGTGGTGCATTATAAACGTGCATCGTGGATGCAACCTCGGCATCACTCAGCTGTCACGCATTAACGCTCGTCCCGTCCTTACGCCCGTCGCGTACTAACACCTGTCGTGCACTCACGCTAGTCTTGAACTAACCCCCGTCGCGTACCAACGCCGTTGTGTACTAACGCCCATCGTGTACTAACGCTAGTCGCGTACTAACCCCCGTCGCGCACTAATGCTAGTCGCATCCTTACGCTGGTCGCGTACTAACCCCCGTCGCGTACCAACGCCGTTGTGTACTAACGCCCGTTGTGTACTAACGCTATTCATAATCAACGTTTTTGGGTTTAGATCGCGTTATTTATAAATGTGTTGTAACCCTCCACCACCCGACACGGCCAATCAGCAAAAAAGTGTCACGTTCACAAAAGACAAATAGTTCACTGCTTTAGCCCACCGGTGTGTTGAAGCCACAACATTTACAATTTGAGTACGACGTTTCGCTGGTAATTGCATCCAGCATCATCGGGCAATTCGCCAGAATGGTGAGGCTAGTCGCGTACTAACACCCGTCGCGCACTCACGCCCCCATGGTTTCGTCGCCCAGACTACCCGGCAGGTCACCCGGAGCTGTTGCTGAGCCGCGGCAGCGTCATCATGAACCAGCCGCCGCCACCCGCCCGGCCGGCCCGTGGCCCCCTCTGAGCGCGGCGGGGGCCGCTGCGGCCCGGGGCCCCCCCAGGTCGCGCCAGCCGCCCCCCCGCCGGCTCACGGCTACGCCGAGGCGGCCTATGACAACTCCCTCGACTACTATCCCGGCAGCAGCTACGGACGATCCCACCACCACCACCACGAGCAGCAGCAGCTACAGCTGCACCACCACCAGCAGCAACACCACCACCAGCACCACCACCAGCACCAAGACAGCAGCAATGGCAACAACAGCCACCACAATCGTACGGGCAACAGCGTCTGCAGCAACAACATCATCGTCGTCGACAGCAGCAGCAGCAGGAGTCATAACAACACCAACAACAACAGTAGCGGTGGCGGCGGTGGCCGCGAGGCCTCGCAAGGCAACGTCTACGCCACGTCGCCGTTCCGCCAGCGTGGAGGCTACGCGCCGCCGCCGCCATTCCACGCGGGGGCCGCGTACGGCCACGCGGCGTTCGCGACGGGGCCGCGTGGAGGCTGCGGAGTTGACGGCGGCTACGGCTACGGGCTGCCGACGGGCGGCGCGGGGGGCGATGGCGGCGTGGACGCGGGGTTCTCGTGCGCCGCCACGGGCCCAGGTGACCACGCGGAGGGCGCGGTGGTGGGGGCTGGGGGGAGGGGTTAGGCATTGAGGTTCAGGGGGTCACGGGGTTAGAGGCAGAGGCGTAGCTAGGGGGGGGGGGGGGGGCAGGGGGGTACATGTGTCCCCGGGCGCCAAGGTAAAGGGGCGCCAAAATGAGGCTTACGACGTTACATTATAACTTATTGCGGCGGGCGCGGCAGCCTGAAACTACCGCACAAATCTACACCTCAACCTAAAAGTTTATATATCCCGCCACACACTGTCATGTAATTACATTTTGGTTTGTGATTAAACGGGAGGGGGGGGGGTCGCCAATTTTATAGTTTGTCCCCGGGCGCAAAATATCCTAGCTATGTCACTGGTTAGAGGAACACGGGGGTTGTGCGTTAGGGTGGTGAGGGGGTTTGGGGTTCGAGGTGTTGGTGCTTGAGGTGAGTGGTTAAGGGGTGTGCCGTTTGGGTTTACGATTTTAGGTCGACTCGGCCTCAAATGAGTACCCGGGTGCGACGTGTGAACTTTGTCACTGGGGAGACAAAGGCGGCCGGGCGTGGTGTTGGCCACCCAACCCCCTCGTGCGCCGTTCCGGCCTTCATTAGGTGCTGCTCGCTAACAACACTTGCCCCAACAGTCTGCTAAGGCTATACGGGGGTCGGATCTTCGTCTTGCGTGTGCGAATAAAGTAATGGTCGACCCGATGATGCCCCCTCCCCTTCCCGCGCAGGCTTCTACGGCGCTGGCGCTCTAGCCGGCCGTGCCGTGCCGGTCATCAGCTGCCACGGCGCGTCGCGGGCCCCGGAGCGGCCCGACCCTCTGGGGCTGCTCTGCGGCGGAGAACCCCCCGGTTACTACGGCGACGGCAAGCATCACGGTTACTACGGCGACCACAAGGCTGACGACGGTTGCTACGGGGCGAGGAAGGCGGAGGAGGAGTATGGCTGCTGCTCGTCCGCGGGTGAGGAAGGGGTACCAAATGCGGTGGCGACGATCACGATCCGTGTTGCGTGCGCAGGCTGTTGGGGCCTTGACACACACACACAATGGGGCCGTCCATAAATGACGTCACGCACCTAGGGGGGGGGCGGGGTCAGACATTTGTGACGATGTGTGACGAGGGGTGGGGGGTTTGAGAAATGTGACGTCACATCAATATGCGCAACTTTTAAATAAATATAGACAACACGTTCTACTTAATTAAATAAACTTTTTAATAAATGTTTTCTCCTACAACATCAGAGTGCAGCGGCACATTAAATACGCACTATAATGACAATAGTTTAAAGCGATTTGAAGCATATTTTTTTTTTTGGGGGGGGGGGCAGAGCTTTGTGACGTCATATTTGAGGGGGGGGGGTCTGACTTTTTGTGACGCCATGTGACGAGGTGGTGAGGTGGCCAGAACCCACTCCCGACCGCCTTTGTTTCCCCTGTGCTGATGTTTGCACGGCGCACCGGGGGCTCGTTTGGGGCGAGCATCTGAACCAGTGCTGTGCCTCCCCTGGGTAGATTCGAGTCGGCACACACAACACACAAGACAAAGATCCCCCGTGTAGCGTTAATAGACTGTTGGGGTAAGTGCTGTTAACGAGCAGCGCCTGTGAAGGCCGGCACGGCACACGAGGGGGTGGGTGGCCAGCACAATGCCCGGCCGCCTTTGTCTCCCCAGTGGCGATGTTTACACAACGCACCAGGTACTCATTTGAGGCTGAGTTGACCTAGGGGAGGCCCAGGACCGGTTCAGATAATCGTCACTGGTGTTGGCCGTGAGCGGGAATCGAACCCTGGTCGCCAGGTTCATAGCGCAGCGTAGCCCTAACCGCTGCACCACCGCTCCCCCCACGCACATTAACAGACACACAAACATATACCTGGCTACTTTCATCTTTAGGCCCATCTCTTTAAAGTGGCCTTCCCTCTACAGCTTGACCCGTTGCCCCAGGTTCTGTTTTCGTTTCCTGCTTTTCATTCCTTGCGTATTGGGATCTTAGGATGGAATGCGCATTATACATTAGAATTATTGTTATATTATTTTCTAATACGTGTATCTCGGTCACATGACTGCATGTGTCTATCTAACAGGTGCATGTCCATCTAGCGCGTGTGCGTCTATCCAACACGTGCGTGTGCGTTTATCCAACACGTGTGCGTCTACCTAATACGTGAGTGTGCGTGTGCGTCTATGTGTGTACGTTGAACTTCTTTCGCGCTGTACGTAGCCAACTGTGCCAATGGGAAGGATAACATATGTATGTGCATGTCTATCTGACACATACACATATTTGTGTATGTGTCTGTCAAACACTTATGTGTGTATCTATTTTACACTTGGGTGTGTTTGTCTATCATGAATGTGTGTCTCACACGTGTGTGTGTGTGTGTGCATACCACGTGTGCCTGTCGAACATGTGTGTGTGTCTATCTGACACTCGTGTGTATGTGCGCGTGTGTCTCTGGGGAGCGGTGGTGCAGCGGTTAGCGCGCAGCACTACGAACCTGCCCACCCTGGTTCGATTCCCGCTCACGGCTATCACCAGGGACGATTATTTGAACTCGTCCCGGGCCTCCCCTAGGTCGACTCAGCCTCAAATAAGTACCTGGCACGAAGTCTAAACATCACAACTAAGCCTTCATAGGTGCTCGCTAACGGCACTTGCCCCAACAGCCTGCTGAGGCTATACAGGGAATCTTTGTCTTTGTCTATCTAATTCGTGCGTGCGTGTGCGCTGTTCGACAGGCGACGCAGATGCGTCGCTGTCCCAGTGCATGTACGACAGCAGGGCGGCTCTCTACAGCTCCCAGCATGCCCTGCACTACGCCCAGCACGCGTCGTCGCATCCGCAGCAGCAGCAGCCGCAGCAGCCGCCCCTCCCGCCCATCGCCACCGTCTTCATGGACCAGATCACGGGCGAGAGCTGAACCGACCAACGTCTGCCCGGCATGTTCCGAGCGGCTACGGCGATCGTGATGATCTGCAACAGCGGCGGCAACGATCAGCGATCTCTCTTTCGCGCGGCCGACGGTGTCGATGCAGAACACCGGCTACGATTTCACATTCAAAGTTCAAAGTTCATTTATTAGGTATAGCCCTGTGAGCCATTCGGCTCTTGAATCGGGTGCAACCGCAACAAACAAAAAACTAAAACATGAACAAGAAAACATCTTAAAGTGACTGAGTGCAAACAGAAAATCCAAGAAAAAACAGCAAAATATTGCAGAAAAATCACCGTACACCAACCCTGTGCAAATATCCCAGTGGGATGCAAGTCAAACAACAACAACCACAAGACAACTTAGATTAAGGCCATCAGTCTAACTCTGTACTACAACAAACAAATATGGCCAAACCAAAAAACTTTTCGAAAATCACCAAAATAAAGCCAAGACAGACAACAGCGTCAGGAGCAGCGCAGTAGTGGCGTGTCGCCGTGATGTCTCCTTCTTCGTAATTCGTGGATCGGGGGCATTGCGTCGTTACGCGTTGCTACTGCCCGTTCTGGATGACCAACAGTCACGGCACACTGCTACTGGAGAGTTTTTATTTTCATGTTTCCCATTTGTGCATCCGGTATCAGCATCTACTGCTGCCATGGTTTGTGCGGTTGAGGTTGGACCACGAGCGATGTTCAGCGCCGCGTTCCGATCGTCAAAACCAGCAAGATCAGCCTGGGGTTGCCACCCTTCCGTCTGATGGACGTGGCAAACGAAATCTAAGATGCAGCGTGGGGAGAAGAGGAATAATATCTCACGGTCGCGGAAGATGGGGAGGGTGGGGGGGGTGGAGAACCACGTGGGCACGCATCGTCTTGAGTGGTGAATAATCCTTGTTGTTGTTGTTGTGTTTATTATCACGCAACTAACAAACAGCTGCTGCCTCAAATTTCGATTTAAAGCTTTCGTGACTGCAGGGATTCATCTTCTTGGTTCTTTCGGTAAAGTCACGTAGAAGGGAAATAATAAAATAATAAAAATAAAACATAACAAATAATTCTCACGACGTTTCGGCTGCAACGCAAGCAGCCGTCCTCAGGTGAAGAATGAAGCACCACCAAGCTCCAAGCTTTATATTTTTTATATTTTATCATGTTTAATTGTTATTATTTTATTATTTCCCTTCTACGTGACTTTACCGAAAGAACCAAGAAACTGCTGCCTCGTGAACGAGGACGATCCCCGGGGAGAACCGGGACGGTTGGCAACTCCACCGCACCACGGGGGGATCAGCTGTATTTTTTTATTTTGGTTCAAATGTTTTTTTTATTTACTTACCCAGCCCCTTAATTTCTCACCCAGTGTGATGTATCCGGGTCGCTGGTAGACTTGAGTAGGTGGCACGTGACTGTTGTAGCTGAGGCACAGATATATATTTTTTGCCGGTCGCTGGTAGACCAAGCTGAAATTCAGCCCCGCTTCAACAAATACGCAGGCTACAGTACAAAGACAAAGGTCCCCCCCGCTCTGTATAGCCTTAGCAGGCTGATGGGGCAAGTGCCGTCATCTATTAAGGCCGGCACGTCACACGAGAGGATGGGTGGCCAGCACCACGCCGGATAATCATTTAGGGCTGAGTCGACCTAGAGGAGGCCCAGCCATGAGCGGAAATTGAACTCGTGGTCAACGGTTTATAGCACAAAACATGCCATCAAGTCTGCATTAACCACCCATACTTGCGGCATATTTTGCCACAAGTACGCATGGCTAATGCCTTGCATGCCACGATGGCGAGATGTTATCTGCCTCGCCTGGTATGCAGGAGGTCGTGGGTTCGATCCAGACCCTGACGCCTGCTGTATATTTGGAGTTTGCATGTCGCTCTTCCCCGTGGTGGCGTGGATTTTTCTCCGGGTCCTCCGGTGTTCCCCTCAATATTTAGAAACACGCGCTTAGAATATTTGGCTGCTGTACACTTCTACGTGATAAGCCACTTTGTTGAGCTATCATTTGTGGCCAGGACAAAAAATTGGTTATACAGCTTATTGAGCCTTAGCTGGTGAAAGGAAAATGTATTTAGATTGTATCTATGTTGTATTTGAACATCTTTACAGCTCCTGTTATATTGCCACAAACGGTAAAGCCCTACTCATCATTTCAATACCGGCAAAAAAAAATGTCCCATGGATGGTTCGGAGGTCGTGTGTCGCACGTTAACTTCAGTAGCAGAGGTCCCTTGCTTCGTTACGGTCACAGCGGTTCTAAAGTTCTACAGAGAACTGCTTTTTAAATCCTTTATATTAAGTTCGCTTGCTTGCTTGTGACCGTGCAAATCTTTCGGTCGTTTTTTAACCCACTTCCCGTGATCCAATCGAGCTGACATTTTCCACACAGACTCGTTGTGCGTGACAATTAATGTTCGTGAAAATGTTTTTTCCAAAATTTTACACTTTTAAGGACAAAAATATTATATTTAATTACCAATTGCTTAATGGTGGCAGGCAATCATCTGATCCATAGGTGGCAGCCATCTCAAACCAGAGGACAAGAGGACTCTAGCCGCCACGCATATAAAGGATTTATAGTGAAAAACTTTGTTTTTACGGGTTATACATGTTTGTCTTTAGTTTGTTGTGCTCCCATCCCCGCAACGCCGCTTAACACGGTTCGCTACGCACGGTGCGAACGAAGGTCTACACACACGCGCGTATATACAGATCACCTCTGTACTGCGACGCACAACCCATCCAGGAAAATGCTGTGACTGTCAGACGCATCCTTTGTTCATTGTTACGTACAGGGTTATTTGTTTTTCATTGTGTGTCTGTGTGTTTGTGTTTCTCTATAGCGGATGATGGTTTTTGTTTGTTATATATATGAAGTTTGCGCTTAGTCCCTGCATCTGTTTACATCGTTTACTGGAAGAGTAGGATATATATTTTTTATTTTATTCCCTGTAAGAGGAACGGATATTGTATCCAGCTGTGCCATAAGAGGCTACCACCATCGTCATCACCATCATCATCGTCGTCGTCATCATCAGCCATGGTCAATCCACTGCCGGATGAAAGGAAGACACCACCGCCGCAAATTACGATCGCGCACATCAATGAACAATCCACCCAGTGCCCGCACATTTACCGATCGCATCGCTCCGTCTCCATGGCGGACTTACTTTCGGGCGCGTTCCGTCTCATTTGCTGCCACTCCGTTATTATCCTGCTAGCCACGACGCGTCCTACACAACCCAGAGACTCGCGTAGACCTGCATTGAGACCCACAGACTCACATAGATCCGCACAGAGACCCAGAGACTCACATAGACCCGCACAGAGACCCACAGACTGACATAGACCCGCACAGAGACCCACAGACTGACATAGACCCGCACAGAGACCCACAGACTGACATAGACCCGCACAGAGACCCAGAGACTCACATAGACCCGCACAGAGACCCACAGACTGACATAGACCCGCACATAGACCCAGAGACTCACATAGACCCGCATTGAGACCCATAGACTGACATAGACCCACACTGAGACCCAGAGACTCACATAGACCCGCACTGAGACCCAGAGACTCACATAGACCCGCACTGAGACCCAGAGACTCACATAGACCCGCACTGTGACACAGAGACTCACATAGACCCGCACTGAGACCCAGAGACTGACATAGACCCGCACTGAGACCCATATACTCACATAGACCCGCACTGTGACCCAGAGACTCAGATAGACCCGCACTGTGACACAGAGACTCACATAGACCCGCACTGAGACCCAGAGACTGACATAGACCCACACTGAGACCTAGAGACTCACATAGACCCGCATTGAGACCCAGATACTCACATAGACCCGCACCGAGACCCATAGACTCACATAGACCCACACTGAGACCCAGAGACTCACATAGACCCGCATTGAGACCCAGAGACTCACATAGACCCGCACCGAGACACAGAGACTCACATAGACCCACACTGAGACCCAGAGACTCACATAAACCCGCACAGAGACCCATAGACTCACATAGACCCGCATTGAGACCCAGATACTCACATAGACCCGCACTAAGACCCAGAGACTCACATAGACCCGCACTGAGACCCACAGACTCACATAGACCCGCATTGAGACCCAGAGACTCACATAGACCCGCACTGAGACCCAGAGACTTGCATAAACCCGCATAGAGACCCAGAGACTCACATAGACCCACACTAAGACCCAGAGACTCACATAGACCCGCACTGAGACCCAGAGACTCACATAGACCCACATAGAGACCCAGAGACTTGCATAAACCCGCATAGAGACCCAGAGACTCACATAGACCCACACTAAGACCCAGAGACTCACATAGACGTACATAGAGACCCAAAGTGTGTTTAGAGTATTCCAGCTACTTTAAATGTCCACGTGATAAGCCACTTGGTTGAGCTATCATTTGTGGCCAGATCGCTTTTGAAAAAAAACATTTATAACTCAGTGCGCCTTAACCTGGTAAAATAAAAAAATGAACGAATTAGTTTTAATTAAAAAGAGTGGGGATGAAAACGTAACCGTGGAGGAGAGTAAGCGTGATTGGGCACGGCGTGTCGCGAGGAGGAGGGTGCTCGAGACGATCGGTGGAGCCGCCGCCAAGCGGCTCGTCCGCTTGCGGAGACGGAGCGGCGAAATGAGCCCGAAATGCGCAGGAGCCACACGGATCGTCGTATCGCGCCACCGTGGGACATGACGGCTGCGTTGGGGAGGGGAGAGGCGTTCATCCAGCAGTGGAATAACCTATGGCTTATGATGATAACGACGATGATGTACTGGGTGGCGAGTGTTGGGAGTAGCCAACACCTTGTGAATTGGACGCACGTAATACCGGTGCCCGTCCAGCAGTGGATAGATCGTGGCTGATTGATGATGATGACGATGATGGAGGTGGTGGTGGCAGGAAGGACATGAGGACACGAGTCGACGATCTTTTTCGACTTAAAGCTTTCGTGACTGCAGGGATTCATCTTCTTGGTTCTTTCGGTAAAGTCACGTAGAATGGAAAAAAAATAAAATAATTAAAATAAAACATCATAAAATAATTCTCACGACGTTTCGGCCACAACGCAAGCAGCCGTCCTCAGGTGAAGAACAGCGCTGTCGAGAAGACAGAGTCTGAATGTTTATTTTTATTATTTTATTACTTCCTTCTACGTGACTTTACCGAAAGAACCAAGAAGATGAGTCGACGGTCGTTCATCTCCGGGTGTCGCCTGCTGTTGGCCGCCCTGCGAGAGCGTGGAGCGGATTTATTTCGATCTCGATTTGAAGCTTTCGTGACTGCAGGAATCCATCCTCTTTGATTATTACGGTAAAGTCACGAAAGAACCAACGAGTACGGATTCATCATGGGACCTCCTTTGCCAGTACCAAAATATACTAATAGGGTTTTTCCCCTTTTTTCTGGCAACAAAACTGACACCTTTTGCAAGGAATCATGTTTACATTAACCACAATACTTGCAGTCAATGCAAACAAAAAACAATACTCTGGTAATTTATGCATTGTCTTTGGAACTGATTGGTCCACACCAGAGACAGCTTTCTTTGGAGCCTCGTCTCATATGGTGTTCGACCAAAAGTACGGATTCATTTCGTTATTCACGGCGTCGCATTCGGTCGGTTCTCGTCGCGCCGTCGAACGACGGGGCCGAGAGACACGTGGCCGCCCGGGCCTTCGCGGCCCTCCCGGCCTGCCCTCTTCAGCGGTGAAACCTCCCAGCGGCGCGTTGTCCGACGTTTCG